GAAACCAAAGTGGACATGTGGACGATACCAGGAACCCAAATGCAATCCTCAAATCTCACTCCTTCATTCAGTCTGCTATTTAGCAAATATTTCCCTGAGTCCCTGCGAGAGGCATGGGGGAAATATGTACCCCATCTCAAGTCCTGCTGCTTTGGCCTTCTGAATATCTCCTGGCTCTGTCTGCCTCTGACATCTCAGTCTCATTCTTCATTTCTGTCCTTATCCAAGCTGTCATTCTTTCTCAGCTGTCTCCAGGAGGAAGCATGCCCTCGGGAGTATGTCCCAGAGAGAGAGAGACCTGATTGAGGTGCTTCATTCTGTAATGGAGAATCTGGATGGTGCATCCCAGCCTCAATGACTGGTAGACAGATAGACACTGATATAGATGGATGTAGCCAGAACAATTGATTAATGAAGCAACAGCTGCCATTACTACATGTTCTACACTATTTTGTTTTGTTTTGTTTTATGGTGCTGGGGATCAAACCCAGGGCCTCATGCATGCTAGGCAAGCACTCTTCTATTGAATTACTCCCCCTAGGTCCTCAATTTGGTTTGATGTATTTTCATGGTTCTGGTCACACTCATTTTGAAAAATATCACGGCACTCTGATCAATGGGGTTAGCATAGGATGCTGCGAAGCTCAAAGGTAGTGCACTCATTTGCAAGTAGGAAATTGCAGACTGCCTCAGTAAAGGTGAGATTAACTCCAAGCCACATTTGAAGAATGAGCCACTCTGCCTTCATGCCAGTCCTTGGACAGGGGTGTGGAGATGGTGGGGGGACTGTCTGCATTTTCAATGACCTCACTTTGGCTTGTGTACTCTGCTAGAAACAAATGTATTTCAGTGACCTAGAAATGAAAGCGTGCTCCCTTCCAGCCTGGCCTCAGGCTAGCAGCTGGAGAGCTGTCTTGCTGTTTCTTAGAAAATAACAGCAATAACACAGGTGAGGGTTATGTGCCTATTTCAGATAAAACCGCTGTTTTTCTCTTGCATTCATTTTCGGAGGAGATAAAGGAAGGGCTAGCGTACTGTACTACTTGAGTGAGTTGGATTTTTACCTTGATGTTGAATTATTTTATATGGAACTGAAATAGGTGTAGTTCTTAACCTCAAAGTGAGGTGGAAGAAAAGAGAAGGAGAGACAAGTGTGTTTGCGAGCATGTCTGAGAATCAGACTGGCCCGGGCTCCCAGCACCCATGACCCCATAGGATCTGCTTTCCCCCATGGGGGACCATTCTTCTATGCTTTAGGATATTATCTGACACTAGATTTTGGGTCAGTTTTGTGGTTTTTTTTTTTTTAATAGATTTAGTTGGTTTATTAACTTTTGTTAATATTGATTATTTCAGGAGGAAAATAAATTCTTAGTTTATGCTTTTATTCAGAAATGACCCAGGAGTGGCACAGGCCTGTTATCCCAGTGACTCAGGAGGCGGAGGCAAAAGGACTGCAAGTCTGAGGCCAGCCTCCACATTTTAGTGTGACCCTGTCTCAAAATGAAAAATAAAAAAAACGACTGGTGATGTGGCTCAGTGGTTAAGCACCCCTGGGTTTAATCCCTGGTACCAAGAAAAAAAAGAAAAGAAATGACTCAGGAGCTGGGAGTGATGGCAGACACCTGTAATATCCCAGTGACTTGAGAGGCTGAGGAGGCAAGAAAATTACAAGTTCGAGGCCAGCTTCAGTAACTTGGCAAGACCCTGTCTCAAAATAAAAAGTAAAAAGGGCTGGGATGTGGCTCAATGGTAGAATTTCCCTGGGTTTTATCCTTGGTACAAAAAGGAAAAGAAAAAAAGAAAGAAAGAATGAATGAACTCAGCAACCGCACTCTGACAAAACATGTCCTCTATTTTTGTGGAGATATTTTTTTTAAACTCTTGTCTAGTGATTTTTTTCTTTTTATAATTTATTTTTTAGTCCTTAGTTGAACAGGTATTTTAGATTCAAATTTAGATACTGTCTATGTTTGTATTTTTAATTTCTCTTTGTAAGTGGAAATAAATTAAAGTTGAGAGCAACATGTACTTTATATTCGCTCGTGATATAACATCCTCCCTCAGTACCCTGCCCCCAAATAGAACAAGAAGTTTACAAAACTCTGATGTGAAGCAAAAGATGAACAGTTCAGTGTGTAATTCAAGTAAAATATGAAAAAGTTTGTTTAGAAAAATCATTTTAAAATTTCACCAGTGAGGGTTTGTCAAGAGCCAGATGGCAATAAACAAGGAGAGAAATGAATTACAGTAGATGAGGTAGAGAGAGAAGATGGGAGGGGAGGGGAGGGGGGATAGTAGGGGATAGGAAAGGTAGCAAAATACAACAGTTACTAATTGGGCATTATGTAAAATTGTGGATGTGTAACCGACGTGATTCTGCAATCTGCATTTGGGGTAAA